GAGAAGGTAGACCTCTCCAAGCAAGCTAATCTATCGGTTAGACAATACCATACGAACTTGAAAGTAGCATGGGATGAACTCCATTCATACATGCCTATACCCTTTTGTGATTGTGAAGCTGGGACTTACAAAACTGTCAAGAAGTATGAACAGATGGTCATTCATTTTTTGTAGGGATTGAACCAAAACTTTCAACAGGCTAGGACTCAGATGCTGATGTTAGATCCTCTTCCTGATTTAGACACTGTGTATAGAACTGTTCTTCAATTGGAGAGACAGATGAATGAGACTAGTCTAGCTGGGGGAAAGACAACAGAGGCCATTGCTTTAGCAGCTCCCACTAGTCAGTCCAGGTATAAGAATTACACTAATCATAATGTTCAGGGTAATACACAGAAGGATGACAGGAGAGGGGACTTGTTTTGCTGTTATTGCAAAAAGGACAATCATGTTATTGAAGATTGTTGGAGATTAAAGAAGAACAGAGGAGTTGTTGGATCTGGGTATGGTGGAAATGGTTCTGGAGAGATGAGATTTGCAGGTAGCATTGACACTGAATATGAGGGAGGCTCAAACAACTTACAACATAATCCTCCCAGCCCTGGAAGTGAGAGGGGAAACAATCCTATTCCTGATGCTCAAGTCCTTTTTACTCACTTCAACACGGTTGTGGAGGAACTTGGAAAGCTTAGGCAACTTTTCAACCATCCCTCTATGCAACAATCATTTGGATCCAGTGGTGCTATGTCTTCTAGACCATCTTCCAGTGCTCAGGCTAACTCAGTGACAGTCAGAAACACTGGAAAGAACCCTATGGCAGGTAACATCACTCTCTCCCTATCCAAAAATGTCCATGATAAGAACTCTTGGGTCCTAGATACTGGAGCTAGTGATCACATAGTTTGTGAAATGAATATGTTTTTGAGATGCAAACCTGTTCATGGGATCCTAGTCACTTTGCCAAATGGTGAACAAAACCCAGCCACTCATGTTGGTATTGTCAAACTGTCTTGTGGTCTTTTTCTTACCAATGTGTTGTTGGTTCCTACATTTGCCTACAACCTGATTTCAGTCAGTCAATTGACAAAGAGTTCACTAGTATCCTTACTTTTTAAATCCCATTTTTGTTCTGTTCAGGACCTTGTCTCTCAACAGAGGATTGGTTCAATCCGAGTAGATAAGGGACTGTACCTTCTGGGAGATTCACAAACACAGAACATCCATCATCCTTCTTTTTCAACACTTTCAACCACCAACAACCAGGAGACAGATTTATGGCATAGGAGGCTAGGACACCCTTCCATTTCAAGACTTGAAGAACTACAGAAGACACATAGTCATATAGTTTTACCTACTTCTAAACACTGTGAAGTTTGCCACTTATCAAAACAAAAACGTTTGCTTTTTAATAGAAGCTCCAGTTCTAGTGATTCCAGTTTTGATCTTGTTCATGTTGGCAATTGGGGACCAGTTGATGTTGTTTCAATTGATGGCTTTAAGTACTTTCTTACTGTTTTGGATGATCATAGCCGTTGTGTGTGGATTTATATGATGGGAAACAAGTCGAAAGCTAGAAAATTGGTTCAGTCATTTTGTGCTATGGCATTGACTCAGTTTGAAAAGAAAGTTAAAACAATAAGATCAGATCAAGGCATGGAGTTCCACATGCTAGAATTCTATAAAGAGCATGGCATAGTGCATGAAATGAGCTGTGTTAGACCAACACAACAAAATGGAAGGGTGGAAAGGAAACACCAACACCTGTTGAATGTTGCTAGGTCTTTGAAGTTTCAGTGTGGGTTACCAGTAAGCTTTTGGAGCTTTTTTTTCTACATGCTGCCTACTTGATTAATAGAACCCCCAGACCTATCTTAGATAACAAGACACCCTTTGAAGTCTTGTTTGGTGTTCCACCAGACTATAGCAATTTGAAAGTCTTTGGTTGCCTGGCCTATGCCAGCAACTTGGATCCTGATAAAACTAAGTTTACACCACGAGCAAAGAAGGTAGTGTTCATAGGGTATCCTTTTGGCATTAAGGGTTACACCCTTTATGACCTGGAAGAACAGAAAGTGTTTATTAGCAGGGATGCTTTGTTCCATGAAGGAGAGTTTCCTTGCAAGCAAAAATCTGTTAGCACAGATCAGATTTCCATTCCCATTAACACTGGTCTAGATTTTCAGAGCAATGAAGAAGATGGGTTGAACTCAACCATTACAGACTTTTTCTTTCCAACGGATCATAATGTTCATGAAACCAATGATCCGGATTATGAACCTCAGACACCTTTTTCACCAAATTCATCAGACTTTTTCCCTCAAACACCTCACTCAACTTCCAGCTACCACTCTAAAACACTTTCCACTACTCATTCAACACCTGATCATGGTGTAGCTTGCCTTCACCAAGTCATCAGGATTTACCCATTGCTCTGAGGAAGGAACCAAGAAATCCAAGACAACCTAACTGGTTGAGAGAGTATCATACCAGCCTACTGGTTACTTCAGCTCAAACACAAGGCAAAGATGTCCTCCACCCTATTTCTAACCATCTCAACTATGAAAAACTGAATCATGCACACAGAGCATATGTTCTGAACATTACCAGTGATCCTGAACCACAGACATATGCACAGGCTTGTAAAGAAGAGTGCTGGAACCAAGCAATAATGAAGAGATGTTTGCCTTGGAGGAAAACAAGACTTGGAAAGCAGTTGATCCACCTCCAGATAAACCCATCATTGGCAACAAGTGGGTGTATAAGAGCAAGTTTCTGGTAGATGGAAGGCTTGAGAGACGCAAAGCCAGACTTGTGGCAAAGGGTTACACACAGGTATATGGAGTAGATTTTTGGGATACTTTCTCACCAGTAGCAAAACAGAATTCTGTAAAAATGTTGCTTGCTTTAGCAGCAGTGAAGAAGTGGCACTTGCATCAGATGGATGTAAGCAATGCCTTCTTGAATGGCTATCTAGATGAAGAGGTTTATATGGCATTACCTCAGGGATTTGAAAACAGACCAGATTTGAAAGGGAAAGTTCTTAAACTGGAAAAATCCATTTATGGTCTGAAACACGCTAGTAGGCAGTGGTTTGTTAGACTTACAGAAGTGTTGTTGAAGCTTGGTTTTGTGCAGTCATATGCAGACTATTCAGTGTTTAAATACACTGGGGGGGGGAAGAAGTGTTCTATTCTTGGTGATATATGTGGATGACATGATACTGGCTAGTGATAGCCTGGACTTGATAGCTATTGTCAAAGGTTGGCTTCAAGGAGAATTCAAAGTAAAAGATCTAGGAGAGTTGAAGTATTTCTTGGGTTTGGAGATACATAGATCACAGAAGGAATTTCTCTCAACCAGAGGAAATTCTGCTTGGAAATACTTGCAAATGCAAGTATGCTTAACAGCAAACCTGCCAAACCTTTGGGCATGAAGACAGTTTTATCAAGCCAAGATGGTGATGCATTATCCAAGGAAGATGGAGAAGATTACAGACATTTATTGGGACAGTTGCAGTATTTAACAACAACTAGACCAGACATTGCTTACCCTGTATAGCAGCTATCCCAGTTCCAGAGCAGTCCTGTGCATCTTCAAGTCTTGCACCGTGTCATGAGATATTTGAAGGGAAGTCCAGGGCAAGGGCTTTGGTTTTCATCTGATTCAGACCTTATCATCAGAGGGTACAACGACTTAGATTGGGCTACATGCCCAGACTCAAGAAGATATGTCACTGGTTACTGTACCTTCTTAGGCAGTTCTCTAGTAACTTGGAAAAGCAAGAAGCAAGGAACTGTTTCAAGGAGCTCCTCAGAGGCAGAGTACAGGGCACTAGCTCAACTCTGCTGCGAAGTTCAGTGGCTAAAATCATTGATGGAGTTATTTGAAGTGGCACACACACAACCTATACCCCTGTTTTGTGACAACCAGTCAGCGATCTACATAGCTGAAAACCCGATTTTCCACGAAAGGACCAAGCACTTGGAGGTTGATTTACATGTCACAAGAGAGCGGTTGAAGTCAGGTCTGATCTCATTACATCATATCTCTACTGACTTTCAACCTGCAGATATATTCACAAAAGGGTTGTCCATAGATCGCTTTCAGTTTTTGATGGCCAAGCTGGGTGTACTAGACCAGTACACGCCAGCTTGAGGGGGTGTATGAAGACAGTGATCTCTGCATCACTTGGAGAATTGCAGCAGCTAGCTTAACTCGGTGGAGAAGAAGACGGACTATGACTGAAGGAAATACAGTCTCCACTGAGGGCCGAAACGGTGGCGTATGAGAAAGAGAGTATAAGAGCTGCGCACCGTTTCGGCTAAGCACACACTTAGTGTCTAAACGTACAGCTTTGCCACTTGACAATCAAACACTGGGTAGTTTATAGTTACCGTTATATTAGCTGTTTTTGTACAGTGTTCTTAGATAGTCTTTACTCTTCTTTTACCTAGGTCACAATTGTACAGTATAAATTGCTGCTACAGATGATGATATGGCCATTGAGCCGCATTCCCACAAACCCTAACGAGCTCATTCCTCTGCAAAACCCTTTATTCCTTTTGTAGTGTTTTATCCGATTATAGAATTTCTCAGTCTTCAACGGTGACGGGGGAGAAAGCCGGGTGTCCAGCCACTACGCCACAGACTAGGGGAGTCTTCTTCGGTGGCGGGCAAAGAGGAAGACGAAATAGAGGGGATTGGTTTAGGCTAGGTTTAATTTTTAATTGAATTGGGCCGCAAATATTTAAAATAAAATGAGGAATAAATTAGGGGTATGTGAGTCATTTTATGACCTATTAAACAGCTTACTAACCGAAAATTATTTGATAATAGAAGGATTTATTTGTGAAAAATTTAATATAGAGGTACATTAGTTAATTTACGATAGAAGGTAGAAAATGTTGCTCATTGTCCAAATTTTGCGGGGTCAATAATGCGAGTAGAAGACTTGAAAACATTGGACATACTCTGAAGCCCAATCTGTAGAAACATGGCCCATGAACGACAGAGTTCCTGACGACTTGACGAGGAGAGTACTGGCGGATATGGATAATCTTCGGGCCGGATAGTACGATATCCAATTATCCCGGTTTTACCCAAACCCGTCTGAATCTAGTCTATTCGGGGTTTATCAATTTCGACGGGTCGGGTATCTGCTGGCCTGGTCGTTTTTCGCCGACCCTAAAAGTAGGGTTGCTGCTGGGTTTTATGTGAACTGAAGGGTTTTGCAGAGATAAACGCCACCACCACCGCTTCTACTCCTTTTCCCGCCCCACTCCGCCGTCCGCTTCTCTCTCTCTCTCTCTCTCTCATCTTCCATCTCCTGCCTGTTACTACCTAATGGGGGTTTCTGCTCCTCCGAAAGAGGCGGACCGCCTCAAGACCACTGTCGTATGTCGCCCATGCTTCCTCCCCCTTCTCCTCTCTTCATCCGCTTCGACCGTAAGTCTGATCACGAAGAACTCTGTTTTTCTCTTTTGCAGGACGAGAATGCCCGCATTAGTGACGAATTCGACAGTGAAGGAGAAGCAAGCGAAGGGTCAGAGTTAAGTGAAGTAGCTACTGAAGAGGGTGGTGGTTCTTCGGGCGATGAGGTATGCTGCACATTGTTCTTCCTCTTTCTCTACTCGAGCTGAAGCTCTGTTCTCTGTTTTGAAATTATTGAAGAGGTAATATTTTGCAGGATGCCAGTACCAGCGATGGTAGTGGATTGGATGATGATGATGAAGGTGAAAAGGGTGGCTCTGGAGAAGAGGCTGAAGCGAGAGGTTCTTCTTCTGATGACGAGGTTGGTGCTACTTTGTCCTCGCTACTCTTTCCAAATCATTTGGCTTCGTTTTAGCCGAGCTTGGGTTTTTTGATGGAGTTATTGTGGGGGTGATGGCAAGTTTATTCAATTTATAGGATGCCTCTGCAACAGATAATGATGGACTAGACAGTGTGGAAGGAAGTGGAGACTCTGATTCTGAGCGCAGTCGAGTCTTTGAAGAGAGCGATTCTTCGGAGGATGAGGTGCTTTGCGTTTCCCCTTACTCCTTCCCGCTCTTCATCTCCCTAATGCATACACATCCCTGTACTTAACTCTAAAGGCGACTCTTCTATGTTCCTTTTCTCTTTTTGGCTGTTTGTTCCGAGTAGGTAGCTCCTCGAAATACAATTGGAGATGTTCCCTTGGAGTGGTACAAGGATGAGCCACATATTGGATATGACATTGAAGGGAAGAATAACCAAAAAAGAAAGACAAGACAAACTCGACTCTTTCCTTGCTAATGTTGATGACTCAAAAAATTGGTAAGCTCCTCATTTTATGCATCAGTCTATCATGTCGAGGCACATTCCTAGTAATAGATTGATAATTTTCATGTCACCCTTGGAGTTTAAACATAGACCAACTGGTCAAGATATATTCACTTGGAAGCTATAATTTTATTGATACCTGCCACTTTTCTTTGGCTAGCCTAGGGTTCTATCTTTTAAAGAGTGCAAAATGATTGCTGGTGTTCCATTTGATTGGACCATTTCTTTCATAAGACAATGGCAGCCTGAATTTCCGACTGTTTATGAGGATCAAGCTGCATTTTCTTGCATTGGGTTTATGTGATTAGGTTGTTAGTTTCTGTTTGTTGTCTGGATTTAGATGCGGCTGTGCCAACTTACTTGAGATAGTTGGAAAACTCTCCTAAGTTCTGATAATATGAATGGATTTACTGATTTAATTTCACAAATTATGTAATACTATGTTCATGTGTGATGTCCAGGCGCAAGATTTATGATGACTACAATGACGAGGATGTAGAACTAACCAAGGAAGAAGCAAAAATGATCAGTAGATTGCTCAATGGAAAGGCACCACATGCTGAGTTTGATCCATATGCGGTAGGCATTAGGTTGTATATATTGCTCACCAGACACCATCTTTCTATATATTGCTTGTTTATGGATAGTGGATACACAATATTCAAGTCTGAATAACTTCTGTTTTGTTTCTACAGCCGTATGTTGACTGGTTCAAATGGGATGATGCTATACATCCATTATCAAATGCACCAGAGCCAAAGCGAAGGTTCATTCCTTCGAAATGGGAAGCTAAAAAGGTATTTGTTACTGTTCAACTTATTTTATAGAACTCTAGACTAGAGTTGAAGTTGAATGAATTCAATTGGAACTTGAAATAGCGACTGTACTTGAATGGTATGCTGTTCTAGCATGATTGTTATATATACTCTTCTGTGTGCTCTCTAGGTTGTCAAATATGTCAGGGCTATTCGTAAAGGATTGATAAAGTTTGACAAACCAAAAGAAGAACCCCGTTTCTACATGTTGTGGGGGGATGATTCTGGCGCTGCAGATAAGACTAACCATTTGTCTTACATACCTGCCCAAAGCCAAAGTTACCAGGTATGAATTGGCCCATATTGAAGGTTTCAGTCTCCTTTTAAATGCATTTATCTAGTGAGGTTAACTGTTTATTTTTAGGCCATGAGGAGTCCTACAATCCCCTCTTTAGAGTACATTCCAACACAGGAGGAAATTAATTCATATCAGCTTATGTATGAAGAAGGACAGACCTAAATTTATACCTAAAAGGTAATGAAGCTAGTGCTGTGAGCCTGTGACTGGCTCATTTCTTTTCAACCAAAGATATTGCTGACACATACCAAAATGTAATATTTCCCAGATTCACTTCTATGAGAAGCATTCCGGCGTATGAGAATGCTGTAAAAGACTCTTTCGAGCGCTGTTTTGGACTTATATCTGTGCCCTAGAGTCCGGAAGAAACGTGTAAGTAGACTTGGCATTGATGTTTTCTACTGCATATGATGTGAAGGCAATTGTAGTTGATACATTGTGCTCCTGATTTCAGATTAATATAGATCCAGAGTCCTTGAAACCTAAGCTCCTAGCCGAAAGGATCTGAAGCCTTACCCATCCACATGCTAACATTGAGTAATATAGGTCATAAGGGCCCTGTTGTTTCGATTTCAACTGAAGTTTCAGGAGAATGGATTGCATCAGGTATGGATGAATGTCTGCTGCAGATGGTTGTTACTGGAATCACATATAATGAGGTCCCATATATCCGATTCATTATGTTATTCCCTTTCAAGGTTCTACTGATGGGACTGTTCGAATTTGGGAGGTCGAGTCTGGTAGATGCCGAAAAGTCTGGCAGTTTGATGAAGCTGTGCATTATGTAGCTTGGAATCCGATGCCTGAGCTTCCTATATTAGCAGTCTCTGTGTAAGGCTGGTTAATTATCTGTATTTATTTGGATTTCTTATTGTTTGTGCATCCGAATCAACTACATAATGATTCTATAGGGGTCAGGATGCATATCTCTTGAACACTGGTGTAGGAAATGAAGAGACCCAAAGAAAACTTGGGGAACTTCTATATGTTGAGGCAGCTAAAGTCTCGGATGATTCGAGTAAGTATTGACTTGGTTATTCTAGTCCTGCTATGTGAAAAATGTGTGTACCTGACTTGATCTTTATATTTTCCTGTATAGATAATCCCATATGTAGCTGGATCCAAGATGACGAACATGGAGGAATCAAGCTGAGACATGCTAAGGTAAATTTACTTTTTATTTTATCTTAAATGTTTTGCTTATTTCAGTGTCCATATTGCTTTCTCCTTGTGTCGGGGAGAAGTTCCAATCCCTAAATTTCGGAGTTTCAGTAGTGAAGTTGTGCATAACTGAGAAGGTTATTGGAGAACAACTAATTTTCACTAAATCTGACCTTAAGTCTACTCATCATTATCTTTTCTAGTAAATTTGTATAGAAAATTATTGACTTTAGTGAATGGAGTTTTCATCAAACCTTACTCGGGAGGCACTTAACTCATTTACCTTGTATTAGAATATAAGTTGTAGCTGAGATAATGTAAACCAGCTCAAGCATGCGAAAGCTGAATTTGAAAAGAAAGAGAAAATGGATCTGGATGCTTTCCTAGTGTTCTTATTTGATACCTTTTCATTGAAGATATTTGATTAATAATTGGATATTTGAGGTTGGGGCTATGAACTCTCTTGGCTTTATGCTTTTCCTGTTAACGCCTGTATGCAGCTTTTCTCCGTCCACAAACTGAAAAATTGTCGGCACATATTTTGAATAACATGATAGATTATGCTTACTGGTTAAGCATGGGGAATTATCTTCATTGCTCGAAACCAAGGAACAATTAGAGGCTTTGTAGAATATTTAGGATCAGTCTTTCAAATATTTCAGATTCACAGATAATGGCGATCGTAAAAGATTCACCATATTGAAACAAACCTGATTGGCTATTTTCCCCCTCTCATTCTGGTCTGCTTTGCTAAAGGTTTATGTTTTCTTTTTTGTTGTTTGATCTAGAATGGGATGTCAGGTAACATCTCGCTTTTATGATTATGCAGAAGAAGTCATTCAATTGATTTTTTCCGCATTCGACCTCATTCTCTTTCTTTTTTGTTATTTCAGACCGTGTCTTCTGTGGAGTGGCATAGAAAAGGAGACTATTTTTCAACTATAATGCCAGCAGATATCCTTTTCTTGCTGTTGTTCTCTCTTGCAATTTTTCGTTTGTATGCCTCTGCTTTCGTATCTTGGTCCTTGAGTTCTGTACCCAAACCTGTTACTTAGATTTCCATATGAATGAGATGTTAAGAATTTCATCATTTCATGCCATGTCATTTCACGCTCTGATGTAGAATGGCGTTCTAAACGCTTTTTTTTTTTATCATTGATACCTTTGTGAGAATCAGAATATCACCCCCTAAATTAACCATTGTTTTTCTTTTTCCGAGTTAATCATTCTGAAAATGATAGTATGCTAGATGATTAGATTCGTGTTTCTTCCGCCAGAACCCAAGAAAACAACTAACCCAGCTTTACTATGTCTTTGATCATTGCATTTGCTTGGACTAGGTGGGATGTCTTATTTGTGTGATGATAATCGAGAATGTGTTTCTGAGTTGCTTAAGCGTAAAATGTAGTTCTTTTCAGGTGGAGTAATGTGAATGTACATGATAGTATGTTGCCTTGACTTGCTTATCACGTGAATCAAAATCAGTCATGATACACCAGCTCTCTAAGAAGCTTACGCAAAGGCTTCCATTTAAGCTGAAAGGAATTGCAGTATCATCAGTATTTCATCCTACACGTTCCATATTCTTTGCTGTCACAAAGAAGAATGTAAGAGTGTATGATCTGCTGAAGCAGAAATTGATAAAGAAGCTTGAGACTGGTCTCCGTGAAGTCTCATCTATTGCAATTCATCCTGGTGGTATGTTTTGGCTTCGTTGATTTTAACATGGTTGTGTTATTTTGTTTGGTATGTATCCAATATCACCATTTTAAATACATACCATGCAGGTGATAATGTGATTCTAGGAAGCAGAGAAGGAAAGCTATGTTGGTTTGATATGGACCTCTCATCTAAACCTTACAAGATTCTCAAGTACGGGTCTTTTGCTGAACATGCATTATTTTTTATAAATTTCTTTCTGAGTTCTGGTAGTGATATCTACCAGCACTGTGTTCAGAAACCAGAAGTTGTGTGCCAATCGTGTTGATTTGATAATAAAATTCTCCATTCAAATGGATTCCTCCAGTTTTTTATGAGTCCTCTTGGTTTATAGTTTTTTGTGAGGGGATCTGTTTCAATGTTGATGGCCAGCTCTCTGATGGACTACTGTGTTTTATGAGTCCTCTTGGATGCCTCCAGTTTTTTATGAGTCCTCTTGGTATATCGTTTTTTGTGTGGGGATCTGTTTCAATGTTGATGGCCAGCTCTCTGATGGACTACTGTGTTTTGCTAGGTCTCATTCGAAGGACGTTACGAATGTTGCATTCCATCGTTCGTACCCACTGTTCGCATCATCTTCTGATGATGGCACTGCATATGTCTTCCATGGGATGGTGTACTCGGATCTTAATCAGAATCCTCTGATTGTTCCATTGGAAATTCTTCGTGGGCATACAACCTTTAATGGAAGAGGTTGGTACCTTTCCCCTTCACTGTTGTACTTGCAGTCAATTAAGAAAGAAATTTGTCACTGTTCAATGAAATTCTGGGTAGATGCACATTATTGCCAGTCAATTGTTTCTTGATTCCCCTTCAATTTGCGATGAGCATGGAAGTGAAAAACAAGGCCTTTTCTTATTTATATGATGGTAAAGATGCGAATCGACTAAATAATGTGTTGTTATTAGAACCATAAAACTAAAAGAAAAACAATTCAGTTGCTTGGAATGATATGATGTAGCTTCTGATATCTAATATGTTATTAGAACCAGAAAACTGATCATCTTTAGAATAACTTCTATTTCTGATGAAGCTGGATTGAAAAAAGTCGGTTCTACATCCCTTTACCTATTGGTTAATTTTCTTTGTTTGTCTTGCTCACAATGTTGCAGGAGTAATGGATTGCAAATTCCATCCGCGACAACCTTGGTTGTTCACTGCTGGTGCTGATTCGTCGATCAAGTTGTATTGCCATAATTAAGGTACTAGGTACTGCTGCTGAAGAAATTATGGCCAGGTCGGTGTACGCAGAAGTTGTGTATGGAATTCCCTACGGAGTCCTGTTCCTGATCGGTAGACGCCAGGTCAAACAAACTCCAGAATCTGTAGGGCAGCTCCTTTCTTCCATGGTTTGTCATTGTGCTCTGCATTGCTATGGAGAATAGGTACGAGGAGGGATTTATGTCAAAGGATTCTTGGATCTAGAGGCTCGCCCACGCTTGGACCTAGAGTTTTGTTTGCTTTACTATTTCCCTGAAATTTCAGTCAAATGAGATGGACTTGGGAGTTGTAAGTAGAGTGTGGAAGGAATAGGGCTAATTTTCTTGTTGCGTCTTTGGGAAGGAAGTAAAAAAAAAAAAAAAAAAAAACGAGAAAGCAGACCCAAGGACACTTTAGACAAAAGAAGAATATATCTAATTTTGTTTGTTTTACGTAAATTTCAATTGTATTAGTGTTTGAGCCTAGAATGTACTAAGTGGTTATGATGCTCCGATTTGAACTCCCTCGTCGGATTTCCTCGAGAGGAAGAATTTGTGAGGCGGGGGCGGCCTTGAAATCTACGCTCCGATGCTCAAGTTGGTACGATCTAGGAGAGGATGTATGATATGTAGAGAGATAAAGTAATGAGAGAGTTTAGAGAGTGAACCATAGGTGGAGAGTGTCGGAAGGGAAGAGAGCCTTCTTGATGTTGCCCCCTAGTAGGAGGCGTTTCATCTTCTAGCTTGCTGGTTCTTTCTTCTAGCCTGTTAGTCTTTCTGTTTCCTTTGAAGCGCTTTAGTATTTCGGCTTTCTCGGAATTGCTTAAGTATTTTGGTTTTCTGAGAAACGCATTAGTCTTTAAGCTTTCTGGGAAGCTTAGTATTCCGGCTTTCTGAGAAGCGTTTAGTTCTTCAGCTTTCTAGGAAGCTTACTACTCCGACTTTTTGTGAAGAGCATTAGTCTTTCAGCTTTCTGGAAAGCTTAGTATTTCGACTTTCTGAGAAGCGCATGGGAAGAAATGTCCAATCACGAAGAGACCTACTTTTGCCAAATACACATAAGGCTCCTATAAATGTTTGATATCAAAATCAAAATCACTATAATGAGTATGGCTCGATGCAATCTCTATATTGAATTTGAATTCCAATGTCGAATACATATGTATTCTCATGTTCCTCGAGCAATTAAGCTACCTAAGAAAAATATACAATCAAAGGGAAGAAACATCCAGTCACGAAGAGACCTTCTTGGCCAAATACACGTAAGACTCCTGCGAATGTTTGACATCAAAATCATAATCACTGTAATGAGTATGGCTCGATGCAAACTCTATAACGAGTTTGAATTCCATTGCTGAATAAGAATGTGCACAACTTGCTCACAATCATGTCTTACCATTTGAAGAGGACGAGGAAGCCGAAGAGGCAAGCCCTAAGGACATTGAGGAAAAGAAAAACTCATCCCGGAGAGCTCTCGTGATGAGTATGAAGAAGAATAACCTCATTTGGCATCTCACACCTCTCCCCATCATACGAACAACTTTGAAGAGCAAGTCATAAGGGAGGAGGATCAATATGACCTTAACAAGAACCTTGCATGGCAACTTACCCTCCAAATCGTGCTTGAAGACTTGGACGGGAAGGTGAAAGAAGAGGTTGAAGAGGAGGAAGTGAGCATCAAAGAAGTGTAAACTCTTAAATATCTCCAAGGGGAGCAACAAAATTTTGAATAAGGAAGTGAGGTTGAGGATGCAAATAGTGTCCAAGATGAGGACGGGTTTGTGGTGGATGAAGTTTCAACAATTTACAAGTGATACCAAATCTTTCCACCCGACCTTGATGTGTTACTCGAGAAGGACCCATTTGAGGCTGTTTGCCAAGACAATGTCAAACCACCATCGATCCCTTTTGGTGGATGCGATGGTGGTCAATCCATGATGTCCTACATGGTATGGGAAAAAGAGAAGAAAGAAGAAGAGGTCTCGTGGGCGGAGCCTCAATTCACACCAAGTTCACGATCTGTGAGTGTGAATTAATGGTGTGAATGTGAGTGCCTGGAGCCTATTTTTGTATACCCAAATTTTAAAATTTAAGGACTCCAAGCACATATGTGAATGAATGATATGGCCTATCTATTGAATGCCTTAGAGCCTTGTTGAATGCCCAAATTTTTACAATTTGTAGGCTTCGAAACTTGTGATTGAATGAATGATTATTGGCCTACATTGAGGCTCATATGCTCAAGTCATCCCAAGATGTGATCGAGAGCAGAGGTCTATTGTTCAACCAACTTCGTGTCTTGCCACATAGGGATTAGGGAAAGAGTATCAACCAAAGAGCTTCTTACGGTATTCCGTTAATTTTCAAACCATCCGTCAGCTCACAGAATCTGTTGATGTGCTCCCTTGGGGACTCATTCTCCCTTTGGATAATGATGACGAGACCGGTCTTGATCTTGAAATTAATGGCCGCCATGGGAGGATGTCAGATGCTTAGTTGGATGTCCGTCACTCATGGGGTCATAAAATATCCCATAGTCATTCCTTCATCACCCTTTTGTGCGACTTCGTTCTCCATCGCAAGATTTCTTCAACTACAAATTCTTCTTCAAACTCAAATTCTTCCTCAACTTCAATTTCTTCCTCAACTTCAACTTCGGTTTCAACATGAAGCACAATTATTTCAAATATCAACCCGAGCGATCTATATACCCTTACTTCAGCCGTCTACAAGTTATCTAGCAATCAAGTTGTTGTTAAAGCTAATAAATTAAACAAGCAAGTAATTAAAACGACATTGAATTCAATGGATAAAAGTTCACTCGAAAGATATTTCCCCTAGTCTTGTGTTGAGGTGCTATTGTGATACTCCAATGTGATATGTAAGTTTCATATACTGTTAGGAGCACTAAAGTAGCTAGGTCCCCCTATTCGAGTGCATCCTAGCCCGCTTAATGGATCTAATAGGATGGGCGTACCTCATACCCGCAAATATGAATAAGGCAACCGATTTGACTCCCTCAAGATTAACCCGCAACTAGAGAGTCACCAATCAATGATTCATGGCACTCTAGAACTTTCCCTTCAATTTCAACTCACTCTCCTTTATAAAGTATGCGAGTGCTGGAATGGGCCCATCTAGTTCAATGTTTGGTTATGCATAGATAATCATTGCTTAGAGTAGGTGGGATTGATACTCCTTGCTTTGCTCTTCTTCCATTGCTCTACTTTCTAAGCCACCTAAACTAGGTTAAGTTAGGGCAACCCTCAATATTGAGTTAAGCAAGTCGGTTAATCGCGATTAAGCCGTCCAACCTTAGAGTTGAGTGAGGGAGTAAGTCAACTACCGATTGTCTAAACCGAGAGGGTCGAGTGACACGGCCTTTCATGCTTACCTCGATTTAGCAAATGAGATTGTGGTCTCCGACCACATATGCATCCCTCTGCGCTTCGCGGTTACCAGTTTGCATCTAGGTTGGTTATGATTAAGCCGCTCAAACTCCAGTTTGAGGGAAAGACCTAGGAAACAACTAGAGCCTGAGTGAGAGGATCGATCTCGTGACAAATCGATCCCTAGCGAATCAATCCCGTGACAAATGGATCGCTAGTTGCTCCTCCTAGTGGTTCCCCTAGACTTGATGAGTGGTTCGATCTCGTGACAAATCGATCGCTAGTGAATTGATGCCGTGACAGATTGATCACTAGTTTCTCACCCCGAGGTTCACAACCACCTATGCCTCACGACTCCATTCAATCCAACGAGTCACGATAGCTAGGTAGGGTGAAGCTCCTTTAGTTAGAATTTTCCTTTATTTACTTGGTTAGTTTGTAGTTCCAATAAACCTAAACCCTAAAGTTGCTTGCTAGATAACAACCTGTGCGATTGAAGTAGGGGTACATGGATCAGCCCGGGTTGAAAATTTAAATACTTGCTCTATACTGCACCCGACTAGAGTTTAAGAACTTGGGATCTAGTTGGGAATAATTTGTGGTGTAGTTTCGTGCGAGTCAAGTTTTTGGCACCATTGTCGGGGAACCGCCGTCCATTATTTTGAAAAGGTCGCTTAGTGTTAATCTAGCATTTTCTATCTTGCCTTTTTGTTTATGTTTTGCGTTTCTCGTTGAGTTTTGTTTACTCACTCTTCGTCTTGAAGGGTGGTTTGTGTTTGTTTGATTTTGTTTTTGTTTATGTAGGTTGAATCATGGATCCCAATGGCTTCTACAACTTGTGGGGATTTCCCAATGGTACCCCAGAGCTTCGTGGAGTAACCAAGAAAGTGGAAACCAAGGAACCGGGTTATATGATCAACCTCCCTTCCACGAAGAACAAGCATACCATTGGGGATTTCAAGAAGCTCCCCCATATGAAGAAAACTTCCCTCCTCAAGTCGAGGAGAAATCTAAGTTCAAGTTGGCAATGGAAGCCTTCATGGGAAAATCATCACGAGCATGTGCCACTCCACAACCGGAGCCAACGAGTAAATTAGAGCTCATGGTGGATCAATTTGCCCGAGGTGCCGACGAAGGATGCTCCAATTCGGATCTTCCCATCGCCGACCCTTTCGACTCAACCTTTCTTCAGGAGGCGGAGGAGCTCCGTCGGTGCAAGGAGAGGCAAGGAGAGCTTGTTGAGCAAGCATGTGCACAACTTGCTCACAATCACCTCCTACCATTGGAAGAAAGAGAGGAAGTCGAATAAGAGAGCCATGAGAAATTTGGAAGAACGAGCTCCGACATGGATTTCCAATCCCTCCCTCTTTCCGGTTTGACACTAGAAGAGAAAGTGGAGGGATGGAATAGACAGGAAAAAACCGTTGACCCTACGATTAACCCTTGTTGCTAGTAGGAAAAGACACGAGCTTGTGAAAGCTATCGCCTATCATTATTGGAGGAGAAAGAGGAGGTTGAAGGAGCGATCAATGACAATCGTGTGGAGCAAGAAGAACTCACCCCGGAGAGCTCCTGTGGTGAGGATGAACAAGAAGGTTGCATTGATGACTCCCATCACTTTCCCCTTCCCGAAAGCAACATTGAAGACCAAGACACAAGTTTGGAGGAGCAAGAGAATCCCTTCTATGACCCTGTATTGCATTTTGCCCTCAAATTCGTGCTTGGAGACATGAATGGGATGGAGAAAGAAGAGGTTGAAGAGGAGGAAGAAAGCATTGAAGAGAGGGAAGATCTTGAGTGTTCCCAAGGGGAGGAACAAATTGAAGAAGGAAGGGAGGTTGAAGAAGAAGTAGAAGGAGCAAGTGAGGTCCAAGATGAAGACGAGGTCGTGGTGGATGAAGCTTCCACAAGTTACAAGTGTGAACAAAGCTCTCCACCCAACCTCGATGCGCTTTTGGAGAAGGACCTATTTGTGGCTCTTTGCCAAGCCAAGGCCAAACCATCGACGATCCCTCTTGGTGGATGCGATGGTGGTAAATCGATGATTCACTACATGGTATGTGGCAAAGAGAAGAAGGAAGAAGGAAAGAAAAAGAGGTCTCGTGGGTGGAGCCTCAAAGCCACTCAAGTTCACGAGCCCTCAATCATGGACACGTCCAAAGCTCGTGACTTGAGACACCACCTCACCGACGAGAACCTCAACTTCAAGGAGGTTCTTGGGTGGACAGAAACTTGAAGAGCAACCGTCCAACTTACGACATTAAAGAAGCGCTTGGTGGGAGGCAACCCAACCATTAACGGTTTGTGTAGACACCACATTTTGTCCGGGGCCACAGCTGTACTTAAACTCAAAAAAGGAAAAATTAAATCGATGAATTAAATATAATGCTTTGAAGGAGTTGGTTGAGATAAGCAATGGCTAGTCAAT